AACAGTTCCCACTGAGAGCAAGCACTAGGCGACAGAGGCAAGGAAAAACTTCCTTTTAAGAGGCAGAAACCTCGAGCAGAACCATGGCTCAGGGTGGGCGGCCATCTGCCTCGACCAGTTGGGGGTGAGAGAGAGAGAGAGAGAGAGAGAGAGAGAGAGGGATGGAAAGAGAGAGGGGAGGGAGGCAGCCTACACAATATACACACAGAGGTACAGACAGTAAAGGTAATGTTGCTATAGACTGAATGAAAAATGGTACAGATATTTATAGTAGCGTTAATGATACTAATCGTAATGTTAATGATTATAATAACAATAATAACAATAGGACTAGTAACAATAATTGTAGCAGAGGGTGTCCAGCAGGAACACGGGGGCAGCAGGTGACTGGCAACCACAGTCCAGACTCCTCAGCTCCAGAACCAGAAACACTTGCAGAAAGTGATAGAAGGAAAGAGGAGAGGGATGAAAAAGCACAAGACTTGGGGAAAGGGAAGGTCATGTGCCTCCATTGGATAACACCAATCCATGAGCAGCTGAGGATTCTTTAAATCTTGATATGTTTCATGTACAAATACAGTATGTATGTAAGTAAGTAAGTAAGTGAGAAAGTGTCACAAATTAAACTTTTTACTTGTGCATCTGCGCCAATACTCCAATTAGAGTCTGTATCTTGTCTTCACACCCCTGAGATCCTGCAATAAAATGATTTTAAAGCCCCTGGTGTATTTCCTGTAACAAATCACCATATGGTGCAGATAGATACAGATGATGGGAAATCAAATCAAGCAGCTGAAGTTGTTTGTTGGTGCAACTCCTTTCCAGGCTGTCACTTTCTGACAGTAAATCCCACACAAACAGTGTAACTGCCACACACACACACACCTACACGCACACACATGAACGTGCACGCACACACACTGATTTGTTCATGTCCACATCCACTGATAAAATGAGACTGATGTAAACCTAACGATGTGAATACTAAAATTTCTCCCTCTGTCATGGTTTTTTGTACTTCACTTCCTGTTTTTGTGTGTTTGCCTGTCTGTTTGATTGTGTGTCCTGTCTCAATGAGTTTCACCTGTGTGTTGTTATCCGCCTGTCTTTTGTGTATATATAGTCTGTGTGCTTCCCTTTTCTTTTGTAATTTTGTCTTTTGTCAAGCATTCTCACATTTTCTCCACTGTTTTCCTGTGCTTTTCACGTTCTGCTTGATTTTTAGATCATTGTGGATTTTGCTTTTGCCTACTCCCTTCTGGATTCGTTGGCCTTGGTTTTGGACTGCTTGCCTGTTTTAACCCTTGCCTGCTTCACCTCACCTTAACCCTGTATGCCTTTTGGTTAAAACCTTCAAACCGAACCTGTCTCAGTGTTTTTTCTGCCTCTTTGTTGTTCCTCTTTTGTTGTTTCAGCCCCAAAGTGCTATGTACATAACCTGTACAATAATATTGTAACCCTGTGAGCTAACATCAGGCTCAAGATAGAGACTACTCAAACAACTGGCATACAAAAACAGCAATACCTCAAAATACAGTCTAGCTTTTTAGCAACTAGCTAGACACTTGGACTGCCCCAGCCTTTTTTTCTGTGAGTGCCAAAAGTGTGGCTTTAGGGCAAAATAAAACTCTATATACTATACTCAACCCTATGCCTCTGTGTGTGATCAAAGAAATAGGAGGATAGACACATTTATGAAAACCCCACCCATTATTTGGTAAGGAATTGTGGTTATGTTGTACATCCCTTAAATATCTGAATTTAAAATATGCAAAAGAACAGCTGCAAGGTCCAAACTTGAAACTAAACATGAATAGAAAAAAATAAAAATGAGCTTTAATGTTATAACCTTTCATTTAAACTGAAGACCAATTCTATTATTCTTTAGAATACAACATTCAAAATATTCTTTATTTACAATCTATAAACTTTAATTTTTATTCTAAAATTGTTTTATTTTAGAATAAATGAATAAAGTTTTATTATTGTGTTACGTGTATAATTATGCCCAGGTGGGCTCACAAGACACCAAATTCAATATAGCCAGGCCCAGAGTACATCAGATACATTATCGAACAATACAGAGGGAGAATAAGAAGAGGAATAATAATAGTAATAATAAATATGTATAGATATACATGTTTACATCCACAGTGGTAGTAAACTTAACTAAGATGGCGTTAGAGTGACCCTACCTTGTCCTGATTGTGATGTGTTAGTACTGCAATACTGCAGAGATTCATGTGGTGACAGGAATATATAGTCACTGTGGCTCTGACTTGGTTGGTTGTAAATTTAACAACCTGTGAAATAAACCACATACCAATTTACATATTTATCTAACATCCACCAGTTCTGGAGCTTCACAGCTTCAGTGAAAACATTTAGTGATGTGGATGTGAATATTGCAAAACATCCAAATAGTGTACAGAAGGCAGAAAACAGGTGAAAATTTTTTTTATAAAACAGCTCAGCATACTGCTTTGCATCTAACAGTGCGAGCTGACACTGACCAGAGGGAGCGCGCAGCTTGACGCTTCATGAAGCCAAGCATCTGAAGGCTCCCCACCACCTGCCTTACGACCTGCCAAAGGAGTGCTGGAGCTGATACCTGAAGACTGGCTGTGAAATGACCTGAGCCAGTTGTTTATACACACACACACACACACACACACACACACACACACACACACACACACACACACACACACACACACACACACTCACACTCACACCTACCTACCTACCTGTCAATATAAGACAGGGCCAAGTAGAGTCTCCCTTTTTCTTTGTTGGGAGCTGTGTCAAGTCAGCTAGAAACTCATAGTTCTACAATACAATACAATAAACAAAATCTCTCCAATTTCTACAGATGGGTGTCAGACACCTGTGACAAACAACAAACACACGATCTTGTCTTTTTGGTGTGTAGAGAAACGGACACATCCTGCACCTGGAAATGAATGTCTTACATGCAACACGGATCATTTCACATATCATATTAGCCACAGATTTTTGTTCTGTGCATCTGTAAAATAGGCACTATAGTGAGAGCTCCTACTTCTGAAGTTTGCATGAAGATGTTCTTGTGTCTTAAATGCATCTTATTTGTTGTATATTTATTAATAGCCAGCTCTTTGCTACTGTAATGACCCAGTATCCCTTCAGGGATGAAAACTCCTCTGATGTGGAGCACAAAGACGCATGCAGAGAGAGACATTTCAGAGTTCAGAGGCAGTCACAGCAGATAGAAAAGCTAAATGAGATATGCAGATACATATTATACATTAGACAAGCATGGATGAGATAAATGCTTTAGGATGAGTCCACCTTTTAGCATTTCTGTTCTGTTAAGAGTCAGGACTATTTACATGGAGTTAGTATATGAGTTAGGATAATCTAAGTGGATGTTTTAACATGAACAATCTTAAACTTGAGCTAAAGGTCATCCTTGTAGTCTTGCAAGTGATTTGTGAAAGTTTGCTGAGTAAAGTGTATATCAATTTTGCACAGACACTAGTGAGTTAAACAGTCTTACAAATGATGATTGACTGACATTAGGCCTCACACGTTAGATTTCTACCAATCCCTAGGCTATCCCAGAGTTTATAATTGTATTTCTATAATACAATGACACTGGCTGACAACTGACAAAAAAAATAGAGTAAGCAACAAGCATTTGTATGAGTGAGAGAGTTATGTACAGTTTACAGATGTTTTGGGGGGTAAGACTATTCAACAGAGAACCGGTATAATTCATTGGGATCAGCATAACATAACCAAATGATAACGTAGGAAACAGCAGACAGTTGTACATAATCATTTGCTTCAATGTGTCAAAGTATGTGGAATATGTTCAAAACAATGAGAAATTGCTTTTATGATGTGCACAAGTGACGAGATGATGTGAAGAATGAACAAGTAGTTTTGATCATTTCAATTCTGATCTGAGAAATGTACTAAAGCAAGTGAGAAAAACTGTAATCCAAGCCTGCTTCTCTTCTCTTGTCTTGTCTTCTCTTCTCTTCCCTTCTACAATTGTAATACATTGTCTGACTCCTTAAGTGTAATAGTACCCTCTGTTGGCCACCATATGCCAGTACACAGCTGCAGGGCAGACTGACTTTAAAAGATTTACTATCCTTACTCTGCATGTGAACAGGAGATGCATTGCATTTCAATGTGCAATGTACTGTTGCCTACTGAAAGGTGTGAAGTTAACCTCAGGGAATTACTTTATGATATCTGCACTTGATGGCACTGAACTCTGAGATTCATTCTCGAACACCATGTAGCATCTCTTTCTGTAGACTACAGCTCTTTGTCTGAGTCGCAAATATGAACAGGAAAGTGGATGCCTTAGTGTGTGTGTGTGTGTGTGTGTGTGTGTGTGTGTGTGTGTGTGTGTGTGTGTGTGTGTGTGTGTGTGTGTGTGTGTGTGTGTGTGTGTGCCCTGAGTTATTGCACACTTTTTGACTGCATCACATTTGATCAAACAGAGACAGGGGAATAAAACAAAATAAATGTAAGGCTGTAGATATAGCCTGATATAATACTTTGTAATACTCGAATGAATGAAATTACTGTATGAATGTTTGTGAGTGAGTGGTGCACTATGATTTTTACCTGTGCCTCTGCATAAATAAGACAATTTCTGAGCAAAATCAACTAGTATTGAAAATAATATGTTTGTTTTTAATCACATGGAGATTTCTTAAAAACAGGCACAAGGGCAGAACAGCTCACTACCATGCACAGTTTAGGGCGAAGGAAACGAGTAGGGCTGGACAGGGAAAAAAGAGGAAATCCAGACAATCTATTTATTCTCTCTTCCCTCATTCTTTCTGCGTCTATGTGGGAGAACAGAGAAATGTGAGCTTTCTATTAGAGGGAGAGGGTGGGGAGATAGAGGGAGGGAGGCATAGTTAGAAGGAGGAACACATGATATGGTGAGACGAGAGGAGAGGAGGAAAGTGAGACAGGGTGGATAAGGGTGGACAGGAAACATAACAGAAAAGAGAGGAGAGCCAGATGGTAGAAAAAGTGTTAGTAGAGGCTAGATAGATAGATAGATAGATAGATAGATAGATAGATAGATAGATAGATAGATAGATAGATAGATCATGTTAGGATGTAGGTGTGTCCTTTTGTGTTAGAGTTTTCATTCATATCAGTGGAAGGAGAGGCAGCGAGGATCAGCACTTTCCCTCTCCGACACACACACGCTCTCATCTCACACACATACACGTGCATTTACAAACACCAACACATACATTTCTGCTGCGGAGGGAGAGCGACTGCCATCCCCTGACTCCAGGGGAAGAGGGGAAGCAGCACATTTTGCAGCTCATACACACAGACACATGCCTTTTCTGTTTCTGTCATCACACCCATCCGGAGAAGCACGTGTTTTAGAGTGGACTAGCGACAGAGGGGTGCGTCATGAAGGTGAGCTCTCCTTACCATGAATTGATTTAGTTGCTGTCTTACTTTCATTACTATCTATCTATCTGTCTATCTATCTATCTATCTATCTATCTATCTATCTATCTATCTATCTATCTATCTATCTATCTATCTATCTGTGCATCTTCTATATCTCTAATAATATTGTGCTCTCGAGCTGTGTACTGTAGATGAGAAAGTAATAATGTTTCGCACTGGAAGTGTCAGGTGTTGTGACTGTGATGTTCTTTGGCTGCAAGTGCTTCACACCCAAGTGGCTTTTTAAACTGCGTGTGTGTGTGTGTGTGTGTGTGTGTGTGTGTGTGCTATGCAGAGACAGCAAGACTTTTTAACTTTTTATGAGAGATATAATTTATTTTTTATTTTTGTTTATTTGGCAGTGGGATAGAAATTGGTTCATAGCTGTCTTTCATTTATTTATTTATGTATCCATTCATAATGTAATTTCTACCTTTCTGTGTAGTGTAAAAATGGTGGTTGGTGTATTTATGTGGTTATACTACATCATTTTGCGGCACCTACGCAATGTGTATATTTAAAATTGATTAAATTGATCATACAAAAAAATATGGGCTGTGTCTCACACACTCAGGATATGATTATGTCAAAGGGATAATTTTTGAGGAATTTCACATTTGTTCCTGCTTAGCCAGAGTCAGAATAATTTCTTTTTTATATCGCTTTTTTTATCTGTAATGCTGGTATAATATATCAACTCCATAAAAAGATAGGGGAATACATCCATCTTCGAATTTCTTGAAAAATGCATGGGTAGTGAAACTAAAAAACACATTGTCCAGTGCACAGTTTGCTTAAATGTATCAAACATCCACAGGAGCTGAAAGTGTAGTTTCACATAATGTTGTGTTACGATTTAATATGGATTCATGACTGAATTATTAAATAAATACATTTATTTGAAAATAATGCTAATGTAAAGTTTATATAAACAAAGTGTAACCCTCACCTTTGATGTTGGTGCATTTCCCCTGTAAGATTTGATCTCATACACATCCGGTAACTAGTTATGAAAAGTAATTAGAGCCTAACAATAAATTGACTGATGTTAGCATATTGCAAAAAAGTATATAGTGTAGTATAATGTAGGAAAGAAGGCTGCTGTAGCTCAGTAGGTAGAGCGGGTTGGCAATTAATCGGAAGGTCGGTGGTTCAATCCCTGGCTCCTGCAGAATGTGTGTGAATGTTAGTTTCTGTTTGAGCACTGACTGTATAAATGTACATGTAGTGTAAAAGCGGTCTGAAAGGCACTATACAAATACAGTGAAGAAATGTAATTTCTAGGAGACAGGGTTGTGATGTTGGGCATATGTTGGCTGACAATTAACATGACATTGCAGCACAGAATTGTCATTATGACTGAGGTCATTTAGAAACAGTGTTTTATTGTTTTTCCACCAGAGATCACTGACAACAAGTTTGAAAAAACACTACTTTAAGGGATCCTTGAGTGTATTACTGTAAGTGTTATGGTAAAAAAAAATGCTGATCAGCTCATATATTCTTATCAGATTTTGACTTGATTTCAACCTTTAAAAACTCCAGTATTAAAGTAAAAGTAATAAAAGGTAATCTAGGTTTGTCTTAAAAGTTAGCATGCCTTACACACTGCATCCAGAAACAGTGTCCAAGAATTTGTGTCACTTAAAAGGGAGGAATATCCCTTTAACTGAAGACGAGTTTTAATTTCATGGCACACTTCATCGTAACACAAATCAAATCAGAACGCTGGAGGAGGACAGCTAGACTAAGTTCACCCAGTTTCACCTCACTGCGAAATGACCAGCTAGATCTCATTGGCTGTTTTAGAATGAATCATTGATCATTGCAAACCACAGGATTTTATCCAGTGTGTGCCATAACATAATCTTGGACAACTGTAAATCAGGCAATACCTTTACAGCTAGGTTCTCCCTTTACCGTTACTCCTTCTTATTCTCCGTCTTCTTCTCTGATTGTGTTATTCTGTCCATGTCTCTCTCTGTCTCCTGGTCCCATCAGTCTTTCACCCTGGATGCACAGAGCACTGCCTGAAATCTATCTGTGGCGAGTAGGGGAGAGAAGAGGGTGAGGTATAGTGAAGGGAATGAAGAGAGATCAAAAAGGCAGAGTAAAGAAAGGTTGGGAGGGGTAGCACTGTGAGGAAGAGAAGAGAAGAGAAGAGAAGGACATGGGGAGAAGTAGATTACAGAGCAAAATTGTGGTGTGGCGGAGAGAAAAGGGAGTATTTTGTAATTTTGCTCACAGACAGCATCAGTATGCTTGGTGCACAGACACACACTGTCACATCAGTGCTCATGAACACACACACACACACACACACACCACACACACAAACAGACCCACAAGCCGTCAGACCATGGAGCCAAGCGCCAGCAGACAGTAGAGCCCAAAAACACCTGAAATGGTATCCATGGCAACCAAACTACTGGCTGCTGCATGTTAGACAAAAACAGTGGGATGGATACAGAGTCACTGCATTCACTGTGCATGATATTTCTGCAGAGATGGGTCATTCTGGTCAGACCTCACTGCTTGAAGAGGCTCGTTCACATTGAAGGTTAGAGTTCAGGGTTAGAGTGGTCTGAATCAGTGCATGTTGTCTTCAGAGTTGTATTAGACTTCCTTCTTCTCTCCTTCTCTGGTATAATCTGTTGCCATTCTCAGTGGGAAAGTGGTAGACAGCTAACATACCATACTCCAATGATGGAACCCATGGACAAATATTTGAATTCTGCATGATTTGCTCCAGGAGCAGATTAAGTGTTTAAGAACTTAACATTCAGGTATTGAGGCAACAAAGCCCAGCACTGGATTTAATCCTAAAATTCACTCCAGCCACTCAGCTTTATTATATTTTACCTTTGCTGGACTGATTTATTTTGATCCAGATCCATAATCAGATACAAATAAATTTGCTGTTATCAAAATACTGCAAGATATTTGGAAGATTGCGGCTTTTGCAGAAATGTGTGCTCTTTACAGTATGGTTGGATTTAAGCTAACTAAAACCACCTTGCTAAGTTTAGGAAAATTTGTCCTAATTGCTTAATATTTAAAAAGCATTATACATTCATATACCACCTTAACCACATTATTAATTTTGCTGTACTATAAAAAAAAAAAAATCACACTCTTGAACAACTGGACCAACGACACAAATACACAGGAGCCTCCTTTCACTAGATGGCGTTAGCTAAAGTTTCACAGTAAGTGACCTCACTTGAATCAGAGCATCACTTAAAATGTCCTCAGAGATAACGGAAGATTCAGAATTCAGTCCAGCATCACGCAAGATGTTATTGAGATCTGAAACTTCAAAGCCAGAGGAGCACAGGCTCATTTCCCCCCTGGGTTTCTTCCAGAAGCCCAGAAAATAAGCCTTGTCCAGAAACAGAGAAGAAGTAGCAAACTTTCTTTCTGTCTAATGTTTCAGTCAGTGAAATTGTGTGTGTGTGTGTCTGTGTGTGTGTGTGTGTGTGTGTGTGTGTGTGTGTGTGTGTGTGTGTGTGTGTGTGTGTGTGTGTGTGTGTGGTAGACTAAGTGTGTGGGTTAAACACACCAGCTGCATTGTCATATTTCTGGAACCAGCAGCTCCACCCTCTAATCTACCTTTATGGCACTGCTCAATCTACAAAATATTGCTCAAACTTGAATTATTTATTTGGGGCCTAACAGTGAGAGCAGAGTGCAGACCTTTCTCCTTTGCACCTCTTAGAACATTACAAGATCTTTGCAGAGAACCCACAGTCTGCTTTATAAAAACATTAATTATGGATGGACCTTTATTACATTGGATGCATAAGAGAGAAGAGTATGTTGACATAATATATTTACATCTCTACTCCATACACATTTATATAAATATGTATATCATGTGTTGCATTAAATTGATTGTTATGAGATAAGGGTGAGCCAGGTTAAATTTCACTACGGATAATGCATCAGTATAATTTCACCATTTTATAGCTGTTGCCTGCGTGACAGATGGGATCGTTGTGAAACCAGTGGTATACATTTTGCCCAGCTGTAAACCTAGCACCTACTTAAGAGTCTCCAATACACATGTTTGTCCTTGATATTTAGTGTGTACGAGCTCATTAGTCGCATTCATGTCTCTGATAGTTCAGTGTGTTGTACAACAGAGAGTGAGAGAGCTCATCTATTTCGGGACTGTGACAGCTTCAGTTCTCATTAAGCTAGTGTCACTGTGCAATTAACAGCTACATTAATTTCACTTAAATTAACTTGTGGATACAACATGTGGAGGGATTATCAATTTGTCAAAAACGACATGCTGTTATCTTGAAGAAAATCTTTAATATGAACAGTGGTTGTGCACACAGAGGTCAAAAGTTGGTATTTTAGACTTTTTACACAGCAAGTCATAGGAGGAATAGCACATGTGGAACATTAACTTTGGCTCTGTTGCATTCAAGTGCCGTACCAGTGACCTATCAAGGACCTAGTACTGGCAGAAGTACATGAGATGCAGCCATTATTAAAAATAGGTACAGTCTACAAGCAGTTGTCAGGTGCATACTGTAGTAAGTAAGTAAGTAAGTAAAGTTTATTTGTATAGCACCTTTCACAGATAAAAATCACAAAGTGCTACACAATAAAATGTAATACTACACATGTATATGTACACTGAAACCCGTTTTTGGTCCCTGTAATCATTCCTCCTGTTCATACTGGCCAGTAGGAGATGATCCCTTCCTAATACAATTTCAATTTAAGAGATGGGAAACTAAATCTACTGTTTTTGTCCTGTGTAAAAAGTTTTTTATATGAGGCTTCAGTAGGTTGAGTTAGACGCATCAAGTATCCGCCAAAAGTTACTGTCTTTTAACTATGAAATCTCCTCTGTTACTATTCCTCCACTGCCGCTGAGCATGAAAACACTGTCCATGGAAACAAAAGGAGTGAATTTTGTACTAATACAGCTTGGACTACACCCAATT